CTTACTACTAGTAGCAAGAACGCTACTAGGGGCTCCTGGCCTTACTATTAGTAGCAAGAAGCTTTCCTTGCTCTTTTCCACCACTGCACCAACAGCCCGAGCCTGATCTCCTTCGGCATAGAACTCCTGCAAAGAGCAGTCTCACTCTTACATACTCATATCGTCTCAGTCTGCCAATGTCTCGCTTCTCACCAGTCCTGGTAGACCTGAGAATTCCACGCTTGGGCCGTCCGCATCGGCCTTGCGGGGTTGCTCACGTCCGAGGCCTGCCAGTTTGGGAGGACGTGGAGGATGTGGTGGATTCTAATTAAATCTAATTCTATTGAATTCTGGTTTCTAATAGCTTCTTGGTACTAGTAGTAAGGCCAGGAGCCCCTAGTAGCGTCCTTGCTCCTACTGGTGGATCGATCATGATAGATCATCCGCTTCACCGATGTGTCGGCTGACATCAAACTCATCTTGAGTGGCTCAGGTCTGCCTTGAGCAGCATCTGCAGCAGCGCAGTGCTCTCATCTGTTCCAGGCTGGAAGAATGCATCAAGGCTGGGTGCCTCTTCAGGGCTGCCAACATCAGGCTAAGAGGGTAAAGGGAGAGAGGAAGATCCCTAACATTTTTTGTTGTTGTCACCGTATGTCAGGCATGTCACGGCCGCCTTCCTTGCTTTTTTTTTTGTCTTCTCTAGCAACTTTCCCCAGTCCATCTCTGATATAATCAGCACCTCGATGGCCGCCGAGAAGAATTTGGAGATCTTGTCATGCCTTGGGCTACAACGATCGTTGTTGCATCGAAGTGCCCCTGCACCTGGACCGACGAATCGATGTTGATGTTTCATCACTCCCAGAAACAAATGTCGAAGTGCAAGGGGCCTCTGTTCTACAAATCAGGGGGGTTGTAGAGATGATCGGACCACAGTGTTTTCTGATGGTTTTTGTTTCGTGTTTGATGACCAATCTTGTTGCAGATCTGTGTTGTGCTGGAACAAAATATGATGTTTCCGAACATCTTGGACAACACCAAATGTTTCGCGAAGATGCTGTGATAGGTCCGTACCGTGGATCGCTTTTTGCACCGACTGCAGGAGCACAGGATCTCGGCACTTTAAAAGCTCCTGCAGCAACCCACGAAACCGGGGAAAAGCGGAGATTGGCCAGCATGGCAGAAGAGATCGTTGAACATGGTTGTCAACCTTTCTTCATATTTAACATGAATCAGTGAGTGCAATGCCATATCGTCTCTTCTCCTATCGAGTCCGACAAAGCCGATTCTGATCCTGGATCAGCACAACAGCTCTCTTTCCACTGTGGCTCTCCATGGGTCCAACGCCCTCCTCGACATCCTGCGAGCAAACGGGCGAACATGGTGGGCGAAAATGTCACAGCCACGCTTCCGAGAACAACGGCTGCGGCTGCTTAAGCCTTAAGCACATGCTTGGCAGTTGTTCTGAAGCTTGTTCTCACTCACTTTGGGCAGGCAGGCTTGTTCAGTCTTTTTGTTTTGTCAAGAAAGTGTCCTCTACAAACTCGTGGCTGAGTGAAACCAGCAAAGCATTGGAGGTGCCAGTGTGGTCCACATCCTTTGTGAAGGTCGCTCTCAGCAATGAACACATTTACAAGCTTTGTTTAGCCCTTGCAATGTTGTTGCGTACACATTTGGTGACTCATCCATCCTTCATGGACTATATTACAGGTTGGAGGCCATCGCTACTAGGTGGAGGCAGATTCTAGAACATTTTTGCGAACAAAAGGCATGGGCAGCTGCAGCCAGGACCAGCGCCGAGGTCTGCACTGGGGAGAGCTGCTTGTCCTCAGGACCACCAAGCGTGAGGTGGTAGCCGATAAAACAATGAAATAATAAAAAGGAGATGACAAATGGAAGGATATGGAAGGCAAGGCCCCTTTAAGTGGGAAGGAGTTTAGAGGGGTCTTACCTTCCTAGTAGGTCCAGTCACACTCATGCAAACTCTGCTTGTCCAGGGGAATGATCCATCACTTTGTGTGCACTTCCTTTTCCTTTTTCTCTTGTTCCTAATGGCGACGGCCTCCAACAATGGAAGGTGAGGCCCCTTTAAAGGGAGGTTCTCTACCCTTGCCCTTACCTTTGTTTTCATATCCTTCTTCTCCTCCTCCTTCTTCTTCGATTCTCTTAAAGAGCTGAGATTCTTATGCTGAGTTCTGCCTTTAGATCCTTTCCGGTTCCAGAGTCTCTCACTGAAGCCAGTGTGTCCCATAACCTACCTTTCAATAGGCCAAGAGTCAAGACCAGTCTCTCGAAGCAATGTATGGAGAAACCTCAGTTCTCTGACAGAAAGGACGCAGCAGTGGCCGCTTTTCGCGTTGTGAATGTCCTCTTCAACTGAGGCGGCGACTGCATGACGTCCATAATATGGGCTGGGCCGTGGTATGGGTTGCTGGGCATGGCATTGAGACACTGCTCTAAATACTCATCCACACTTTCGTGGGACACCTGCAGGCAAGATGCGTTTATCAAGCCTCTTCAACCTGTCCATTTGGGACTCCCATCGGTGCAAAGAAATCGTCCAACCTACCAGTACAACTTGACACTGTGACACTGACTACCAGTCTTGAGAGATTGCAAATTTATGTCCTCAATCCGGATTCATCCTGAACGAGTTTTCCACATCTTCACTGCTGCCTGGAGCTTCTCGGCGACGCCCATCTGCCGCGCCAGCGAAGAGATCATACCCTGCTGCTGCTCTTCCGGGACAGAGAAGGCATCGAAGTCAAAAGTCACCTGAGCTGCTGTTGGTGCCTATCAGGCCCGTCACAAAGAAATCGGCAAAATGGCGATGGGATTTGCTCACCCAATTGACCTTCCCGTGAACTTCAAGCAACTAAAGACCAGAAAACCTACGGGGATGGCAACAACCTATTGTGAGGATTGGTAGTCTCTGAGTCTCCAACAAGCTGGGCATCGTGAGCTGCCTGCGATTGGCTCCCAAGCTGGGTGCTTTGCACAAAACTTAAGGAGATTCCAAACTGTCGAGGAATCCAATTGTTTATAGAAACATTGTAAGTTGATTCCACAATTTGTGTTTAGACAAGTAATGAGTTCCCTTCATTATTCCAATTGATTCCATACATTCATTTAAAAAACAACACACACGAAGAATAAACTCTTCCCGACATGATCTGCATTCGGTGAGTCAAAGTTGACCGTCTTGGTGCCGCACCTGTCTAGGGCGCGTTTGACGGAGACCTGAGGTTTGGGACCGGTGTCTGAGCGTCTCTATTTCCTTGTTACTAGTAGCGATGCCCTTGTTACTAGTAGGAAGGCACTTGTTACTGCTAGGAAGGCACTTGTGTCTGAGCGTCTTTTACTTATCTTTTTCTCTTTGTTACGTTCGTAGCTTCTTGTTACTAGTAGTACGGCCAGGAGCCCCTAGTAGCGTCCTTGCTCCTAGTAGCGATGCCAGGAGCCCCCAGTAGCGTCCTTTCTCTTTGGATCCTTTTGATTGTATCTTTTCCTTTTGTATCTTTTACATCTCTTTTACTTCTCGTTGGAAGTGTCTTTCTCGCTTCAGGTGTCTTACGAGTTCTTCAAACAGTGAGAGCTTCGAACAAAACATTTTGGACCATCTTCAAGCCTTGCAGGAAGCAGGTGACTTGCACCCCAAGCAAAGCCAATAGCGCCTGAGATTCGTAGGAGAAAAGGTGGCACAACACCAATTCACAGCTTTTTACAGAAACATGTTTCCGCCTGAACTCAGGCTTGCGAAACTAGTGTGCCATCTTGTTGAGTGCAAACACGATAGACAGATACGAAGTCATCAGTGTCATCAGCATCCCCAAGCGTTCACTTTTCTCTTTGCATTCGACCCAAGGTACTGCTATCCTCGGAGAACGTCTCCGCATGGCCATCTTGCGTTCAGTTTAGTGAGTCTCTAAACTGGCGATTGGTAACATGATGTAACATGATGTATCATGACTCCTGTGGATCTGAAGTAGTTTCCTGCAACGGTGAGGTCTTATGGTCATCATGAGAACCCTCTGCGTTTGGAGAAATCAATGTGCTGGAATCATTTCGAACCACAAAACATCCTTGAGCCACACTGCTGGGACACCTTAGATACAGTGCTTGACAGTCGGAAAATGATTCATGGCACCGGCAAGGTGCTGGCTTCGATGCTGGCTTCTTTCGTACAACCAACTTCGAGTTTGTCACCACCCCAAACATTTACCTAGACCTATACACAGCACAAAAGCACGCGGTGCTATCCTCTTCACGCAGAATTTGTCTCAAGATCTTGTTGGCTCTCTGTGGAAGCCTTTTTCATGTAAGTTAAGTTTCCCTAAACATCTAGGAACCAAATCATTAGTGCGAGAGCGAGCTATCCTGCATCCTAGGTAGTAGCTTGCTTGCAGCTAGTAGCTACCTTACTTGAGTAGGCAGGAGGGAAGCGGGCTTTAAAAAAGAACACTAGAATCCAAACAAGCAGAATTCTAGAATCCAAACGCGGTTTGACTCGGCTCATCCAAACAGCGCTCATCGAGGCTCCCAGCGACTCGCCGACGCTCCGGCGAGCACCTGGTGGACATGGGAAAATGGAACTCCCCGTTCATGCGGAAAAGCAGAAAAAAATACAGATTCGATCAGATTCGTCATGTGTTTTTTTGTTTTTCCGGATGTCTTTCTTGTATTTTTCTTCTGACAACCCATGACCCATGAGATTACCAGGAATAGCAACACTGGAGTGCCCTATTGAAATCCAAAAGCATCCTGGGGTACGACTTCCTACATTTGGGAGGGGTCTTGACTAACAGGTGCAAAGATGTGCGAAGGACAAGCTTCATTCCACGCCTCTGGTAACTCGGATACATCATGACGAAGGCACCTGGACAAGGGCTGTGACTGTTCACACTGAAGTTTGAGGAGCCTTGAAAGGTCTATCTATTCTGAGAATTCCACTCAGATGGCACTCAGGGATGGTAGATCCCATGATATCAGGTGACCTATGAAACTACTACCAGTAGGTGGAGGCCATCGCTATTAGGTTGGAGGCCATTGCTAGTAACAAGAAACTACTAGTCTCCAACCTAATAGCTTCTAGCTACTAGTAGCAGCTGACCTATGAAGCTACTTTCTGGTCTTGAGCAAACACAAATTCCAGAGTTGAGCCCACCTGCAGGCACGGCGGGTTCCCCGCCACGCTGCCACGCCGCTACGCCACGCGCTTGAGCTCAATGCTGCAAGCTGCTCTCTGTGTCAGGGGTTGCAAATACATCTACACACACGCACACACACACACACATCCTACTAGAAACTGCATCTCGCCCTAAGTGACTTCGAATGACTGAATTATATTGTAAATAATTCGCTTTGTTTTAACCATGCTAAACCTAGCCTTCCTTCAGCCTCCTTCTTTTTTGCAGCACCGCTTCCTTGATGACCTTTGGCCACTGACGGGGTGAGACAAACTCTACAAAGGCGGGTGATGGAGTCTCCAGCTAACTTGGCCTATCGGCCGTTTCCGGCTCTGCTGAACCTCGGACACTCTCAAAGCATGACGCCATATGACGCCGCTTTTTCAACATCACGATCGCTCTCGAATCCAAGGAGCGGATCACAGTGCATGGTGCTGACGTAGTTGTCTGCATACAGTGTGATGTCGCAGAACCTCACAGAGAACCAGGACCGTTCGCACCGCACTTCGTGCACTTTGACTTACACAAATTCCGACAACTGACTCATACACCTGGCGCCATACCTGACTGTGACAACTGACTCGTCACATCCCTGACTCGTCACGTGACAAAGGATCGTGATAACGCTGTTTCTTCAGATCTGCCAAGCAGCGTTTTCGGTCGATAGAACCTGCGCATGGCGGCCGTCTCAAAACGCTCGCTTCCAAGACGTGAGATACATGGACAGCATTATGAAAGACTCATTCCCGAAAGCATTGCGAAGGGTTCTTCCGGAAAATCCCTTGAACACTGACACTTCGACACTTACACTTACACACTGACATTTCCACACTTGCACTACAACATGAACGCTATACGTACCCCAGTGTAAGTGGCAGAGCGAAAGCATCCAAGTGCAAAGTATGCAAGTGTCAAAGTATGCAAGTGTAGTGATGCAAGTGCAATGATGAGTATGCATGCATGCAATGAGCATGCAAGCATGCAATGAGTAGGCAAGTGTGAGCATGGAAAACTAGCACGGGAGATGTCCTGATGAAAAACATTTCCCCACTTTATAAATTCTCTCTTAAAGGCGGAGGGTGGGGCGAACAGCGTCAACCGAAAATGCACCCCTCTGCGGAGATCGTGCGTGTCGAGTGCGCGAAATGCAGGCGAGAGTGCGATTTGTCCGGTGCGCGCGCAACCCTCTGCGGAGACTGTGCGCGTCGAGTGCGCGAAATGCAGGCGAGAGTGCGATTGAGTCTGTACGCGCGCAACCCTCTGCGGAGATCGGGCGTGTCGGGCGCGAAATGCAGGCGACCTTGCAATACAACTTTAGTGCGCGGAGTATCTGGCGAGTTGGAAGATGAGAACTGGTGACTTTGTAGTACAACTTTAGTACGCGGACTAGCTGGGGAGCTGGAAGATGAGAACTGGCGACTTTGTAGTACAACTGTAGTACGCGGAGTAGCTGGGGAGCTGGAAGCTGAGAACTGGCGACTTTGTAGTACAACTTTAGTACGCGAAGCAATCTGCGGAGCTGGAAGCTGAGAACTGGCGACTTTGTAGTGCAACTTTAGTACGCGGAGTAGCTGTGGAGCTGGAAGCTGAGAACTGGCGCCTTTGTAGTACAACTTTAGTACGCGGAGTAGCTGGGGAGCTGGAAGATGAGAACTGGC